AGCTTGATTTTCTAGATGGAAAGAGGACCAATATATAACCTTCCATTAAATGTACCAATTTACACTTTTCTAAATATGTGTAATAATGCTTCATCCATATAACCCTCCATTAAATGTACCAATTTACACTTTTCTAAATACGTGTAATAATGCTTCATCCATATAATATATAACCCTCCATGAAATGTACCAATTTACGCTTTTCTAAATACTTGTAATAATGCTTCATCCATATAATATATAACCCTCCATTAAATGTATCAATTTACACTTTTCTAAATATGTGTTATATGGATGAAGCATTATTGATATATAACCTTCCATTAAATGTATCAATTTACACTTTTCTAACTATGTGTAATAATGCTTCATCCATATAATATATAACCTTCCATTGCCTCTCTGCAAAGCTTATATACTAACAAAGAGGCTTCGACAAGATTCGAGGAGTTCCATGATAATTCGAGAACTCCAAGTGCATGCTCACAGCGTCATGCGACTTCCGCTGTCGTAACACTGCGCCTTCATTAGTATTGTTCGTTCCGACCAATAGCATCTTACATTAAACCAATAGATAATTAACAATAACTTAATTAAGTGTACAGAATTTACAAACACAAAATTAAAATACAACAAAGTCTCTTAATTTTACAGGATGTTTCTTCTTTCGTACTGGTCTCCGTCTCATTGGCTTCTGCTTTACGTGGGATTCATCTGCTCCATCAGGAAATGTTCTATTATGGGTAGCAGTCACATTAGTGGTACTAACTTCATTAAGGGCTTCACTGTTTCCCTTCTCAAAACCGGGTAGAGTTTCTTCTCCTACAGTGGCTTTTTCATGTGACACATCTGCAGCAGCGTCATTTGTTCTGTTGTTCACTTCGTTCCAACTGAAATGTCCTGGACCGTGATAACGCCAAAGCCTGTTGGCATGCACCACCTTTAACTTACCTCGCCGACCATATTTTATTCGGAAAGTCACGCCTGTGAGATGATCCACTATGTCATATGGGCCTTCCCATGGAGAAGACAACTTAGGAGACTTCCCTTTGGTATTCCTGGGACTATACAACCATACCTTGTCTCCTGGTACAAAGCTTACTTCAGAAGATTTCTTATCATAACATAGCTTCATGGAATCAGCAGACGTTTTTTTGTTTGAACACACTTGATAATGAATATCACCCATCCCTTCAGATAACACTTTCACGAACTCTGGCACATTTTCAGGCAACTCTTCGTAAGGTGGGCGTCCTGTTATCAGGTCCACCGGAAATCGAAGTTCCCGACCAAACATCAGCTTTGCTGGAGTGTATCCAGTGGCTTCATGCTCTGCTATTCTATAGGCCATCAAAAGTGGAGGGAGTAAAACATCCCAGTCATCTTGGCGGCTATTACAAAACTTTGCCAATTCCTGTCCAATTGTACTTTTCTACCATCCCATCAATAACTACTCTTTCCATTGGTGCACCAACTTGATATAACTTCATTGGAGCACATCCCTTCTGCTTGGGTCCCTGTTTAGCACAACATGTACTGCATGTCCTGCACCATTCTTCCACATCTTGCCTCATACCTATCCAGTAAAATCTCTGCCGTAAGTGACTCAATGCCTTCTTAACTCCAAGATGTCCTCCTGTTAAACTATCATGGGATTAACGCAGTACAACTTCCCATAACTTTCTCGGTATAACTGTTTGCCACGTCGTCACTTTCCCATGTGCAGTTTCCCATCCAGAGAAAAATACCATCTTCAAGCTTCAACTGGTCTCATTGTGCCACTAGTTCTTTCTCACAGCGCTTAAGCTAGACACCTTCTCCCAAGCAGGGCACAAAACTCTTGCTTGTAGAAATCAATTATTGGCTTCAAATCTTGGTCTTTCTCCTGAACTGCTTTAATATCTATACCTGGTTCCACTTCACCATCATCAACTCCTTCAGTCACTTTGACTTCAGCTTAATGGCACCTGGTTATTTAAACCTCTCTTTTGCAACAATGTCTGCAGTCATTTTTGCAGGGTCTTCGGCTCAGTCCATTGGCATTTCCATGAGATTTTCCTTCTCTGTATTCAATGTCATAATTATACTGGTTTATCTTTCTGATCCAACATGCCAGTCCTAATATGCATTGGTCTTCATTGTCAGAGAAGTATACTTTGTGTATGTCCTTCATGCCCATGAGCTTAATAGTTACCCACACTGGTTCCCACAACCTTGCATAATGTCCTGTCACACCACAGAGCTTCTGTATGGCTTCTGGTACTCCTTTGTGATCCAGCACCTTGATACTCACAAGGATTTGCTGAGACGCAGAATCTATGACAAAGTTGCACTTTTGGCCATCCAGCTTTCCTGTCACGTAAACACTATGCTTGCCATTTTACACTTAGCTGTTGGGACTTTCACAATGGGGGTTGGATGGGCGTCCCTCAACACCAACCACTACTGATTTCCAGAAGCTGACTTATTGGTAGTATTCTTCTTACACTGGCCCCTCATACGTCTTTGCTCTCCACATTTCCAACAACCTTTCTTAGTAGCAGCCTTTCCTGCTGT